AATTAAATATTAGGTTTAGAGACTTTCAGTAATAAGAACTTAAATAGTGCTGTTTTCATTCTATTTGTTTAGGGTTTAAGGACTAATAGATGAATTTTTCATTGAATTAACATTAAATTTCACATACTTCCCAAAAGGTATTCTCATTCAAGCTAGACTAGACTGCAATTTCGAGCACTCCTAGTGGGACTAAACCCAAGTTGTGATATTGTAACGTTAACCTCTAGACAAGACTGTCACGAGTGCCCTTCTGCCACAGAGCAGATACGAATTTCAAAGAAGGTCAGGCCTTTCCTATATGACTTTCTGTGATCAGATGGCCGATGAAACAAGTCTGTATTTGCTATTACAATCGACTGCACTACTTATATTCATGTGAAGTAAGTTTCAAAACTACCAGTAGATTTTAGTTAAAATGTGATATGCCAAAAGGCTTGGCGTTGCATGAGATTCACGACTGCCTTTTGACTCAGGGAGACTCATAGCAGTCTGGCAAAAATGATGGCACGCCGAGACTATACGTTGAACTAGACGGGTTCAAATCCTGCTGGGGTTGTTGATGAGACATAGGCTACGTCGAAACTTTGTTAGGAGGACCTTCATTTCGTATAGAAGTGCATGAATAAGAGATTCGTTGGTCGATCTCACCAGATGAGGACGGATGAAACTCGTACTGCAGCCGGTTGGATTTTATACGATATTCATGTTGACACAGTCCACGAGACTTCCTCCCTCGTTTCGGGTGAAAACGTGCTATGCTTTCATCCATCATATGAAGGACATCATCAAGGCTGGGTGTCATTCTTGTAAAAGGCTTTCGGTAACACTAGGCCAAGAAGACTATCCGGCTTTATCTTATCTCTTATATAGACTCAGTTACACTAAAAGAAAATAAAAAATTAAGAACCTAGATGTATATAAAGTTGTTTGGCTAATTATCTTTCATACTTGTCCTGCTATTTTTGCTCGAGTTTATGCGTGCGTGTGTGTTAGCGTCTATACGCAATACCTGACCGAGGGGTTTCTTTGAGGTCATTAAGCGTTAATGATCAGAGCCTTACTTTAATCTTTTGATAACTCTGATTTAGGACCGGTATTGCGTATGGACGCTAACACACACACGCATACACTCTAGCAAAATTAGCAGGACAAGTATGAAAGATTATTAGCCAAGCCACTCTATATCCATCTAGGTTTTAAATTTTAAATTTTATTTTGGCGTAATTGAGTCTATATAAGAGGTAAGATAAAGCTGGATAGTCTTCTTGGCCTAGTGTTACCGAAAGCCTTTTACAAGAATGACACCCAACTCTGATGATGTCTATCATATGATGGACGAAAGCTCAGCACGTTTTCATCCGAAACAATGGAAGGAAGTCCTGTTGACTGCGTCAACATGAATATCGTATAAAATCCAAACGGCTGAAGTACAACGAGATTCATCCGTCCTCATCTGGTGAGATTGATCAACGAATATCTTCTTCATGCACTTTCATATGAAATGAAGGTCCTCCTAACAATGTTATCTCAGGAGATTCATCGAAACCCAGTTTCTCTTCGTATCTACGTCAAAACTGTTGTCCAGCCTGGATGATAATACTTTTTGGCAAGCTAGGCTATGCGAAGTTCAATGGAATTCATCTATCAGTCCTTTATCATATTACGCAACCTAGAATGAATACAGCTTTTATGTAATATCTACTGGTAGTTTCGAAAAGTACATACTACCAATAAAAGAGCTTAATCAGCTTGGCTCGTTTAAGGTGATTTATGGATTTGAATTTTCCCCACAATCCCATGAGTAGGTCTCATGATTCCCTTGAATTTCACACTTCGCCCTGCCTTCGAATAGGCTATCTCATCCATACTAGGTTTGACTGCAGTTTCGACTTCGCCTCACCAAATGATCAACACCATCAACGGAATTCGAGACCAGATCGTGTGTGCAAAATTATCACAGCCACGGGTGCCAGTGAAGTGGCAATGCCGATATGGCACTCAAGCCCCAGTATCAAATACCGTTGATGGAGTTGAAAGGATGGTGATTCGAGGTCCAAACTGCAGTCAAAGCCAGTCTGAATGAGTTAGAAATATAATAGCATTCTAAGGCCTGCTCCCCTGATTGTGGAAAAAATTCAACTTGAGTCCAGAAATCACTTTAAGCGACCCACGCTGACTAAGATCTTACTGAAAATCGCCTAGTCATGGTGACTGTTAAATTGGGTCCAGAGACCCGATTCAGGCTAACCCCTCTTGATTACTCTGGAACAATAACAC